GTGATACGTCACCAGCGATGATCCGATTCGTTTGCGCCAATCGCTCTCGCTTGACTAGCACTCATCGCCGACTCACTGACGCTGGCATCCTTCCCTTAGCCATTTAAGCACGCAGGATTGGCTAGCCACTAAAAAAGACATTCGTTGGAAGTGGGTTTCTCGCATCTAGCACCAGCTGTTAACAATCAACTCTTCTGCCACTAGCTTAAGCCGCTGCATCGCAAACCTGTCGCCAAGATAGATAGCTTTATTTTGTTAAATTTAAATCGTAGCCCTGCAACATAACGCGCTTGCGAAGCCTGGTGTCGTCAGGCGGGTCATTCACGAGACGGCTGCTCGTTCGTGCTCTGTACAAGACTGATCATTCGTTGTCTATAGTAGCTACAGCGCTGGACGTTGCTGACGGCTAGGGACGAGAACGGGTTGCTCCTGCGACCCGTGTTTCCATACAAGCCGTGCGAACGTCGCAAAGCAAAAACCCTGAGGTAAACCGCGCAATCGTGTGATCTGATAAAAATAGATGACGGCTAGTATATATTATTGGCAGGCGAAAAAGTTTCCCTTTAGCAGGCGGCATTACGTGACAAAGCGGTCCATGTCAATTTTGCTCATACTGAAGCTCACGCTGAGAATCATTGGACAAGATCGCCGCTATTATTTCAACCATTTGCTTATAAGCGCTTGTGCGGTCCTAGTTATCATTCTTGTCTTATCATCGTCATGTTGACGCGACACGACTACGCGATCCCCAAGACTGGGTTATGGGCCGTGATAAAACCATACATTGATTTATGTAGACCTAATGTTGAAGGTGAACACAGTCGCTATGGAAAAAAATGAAATGGTTTTAGCTAACTTTAACTGACTAACTTCAATTAACTAATATTGTTAATTCGATAATGTCGGACATGTTGAAATCGCCGATGGCCTAAGAATAATTTTTTTCGAAATTTCCACTCTATCCACAACGTGCAGTGTGACTGCAATCTGAACTTTCAACTTACGCTAATATTCTTGCTCGTAGCATTATAGGAAATCAAATACAACGCTGGTAACCGTCGCTAGGGCGGTAGATTATATAGCGATGCAGCAGTCGTAGTACCCACCCGTTACAGCCTCCGACTGCGCAGGAAAAGGATAGACATAGGAAGGATAGTGCAAGCAGTCATTTTACAGCATGCTCTCTAAATAATACGTCCGTTCTACTTCATAATAAGCACAACAAGACGTCACTATTTTCATAGATATAGAATAAAACAATTGAAATTTCACTTTTTAAGGACACGTTTTATTCTATCTTTTTTTAATTATAGCATTTGGCCAAGCAAAAGCTCGTCTAATCGCCCGCGAAGAGAAGATAATACGTTAAGTCCACTTCGCTGTGGTACGAAACGACCGCTTACGAATCAAAAGGAATTTGCTTACGTGCGTTGCTATGAGTACTTTTCGAACGGCAATTGTAGAAAACTTTTACTGGCTCATCCCCGAATCCGTCAGCCTTTACCAGAGCGATGACAATGAAGATAAACGATAAATAGATGACAATATTATCGTCAATAAGGGCTTGGAAAAGCCATATTCTGCTCAGTCATAGTGCATTGACGAGAAATAAGGGTTCTCTCATTTAGATTCAAATTGTATGCGCACGATGGCGCGTTTTATCGACAACGATTATAGGTTACCATAGTTTGGCGTCTACCACAGTCAACTTACTTTGGTGTTTAGCGCAAAGTCGATGAGTTTAGCTATAGTTATGTCTTTGCCTAATAGCTCTTCGTTCACCTCGATCAGAAGAAACTAGAAGAGTGTGGTGGAGTCGACTTTAGATTAGAATAATGCCCATAGCATCAAATGAGATTATTACCACGGAAGAAGCTTGTCAAAACGAGCAAAATATAAATGTGGCGAAACCTTAGAGCCGCTAGTAATGGAAGCGATATCTTGTTGGGGGTTCCGTTGCAGTTTCTACAGAACAGAAGATAGCGCATCTTCTAAAATGGCAAATGAAACAGGGAGGTTGGGGGGGGAGGGGGTACAACCGTCGAAAACTTACTTCTTTTGTACACGATGGGTGTCTACTTCAAGAAGAAATAGCAAACGGCTTCGAAGTTGCTTTGTCCTTTTTGGAAAAATTCAAGAAACCTCGACTCGGTGTCCGATCGACCGCGAAACAGTCCAACAATCGCAAATAACGCGTTACTTTGCAACTCATATGTCACCCAGCAGCAGTCATCGAACAATGGAAGTACCGTGGGCAAGCAATTGAATATAAAAATAAATCGACATGTCCTGGAAACGAGGTATGCTAACTATTATTTACGTTCCATAGTAACCGCTCTGGACCGTACACGTTCATTGCCAGCTGACGACAGCCCCTGTAAATCTGTAATATATACTCTATCAAAATGAGCAGCAGCTTTTTAGGCTATTTTTTCATTTTATTGTCCGCCGCAGCAACAACGACGGAGAACTTTTGACCCTGTAACGAGTGGATACGTAAATAGATATCTACTTTAGTACAGGGGCAAATAGTAACGAATTTACACTCAAGTTCAATTTGTAAGTGCCATAAGGTCGTGTTTGCTGCTGCTGTTGTTGTTGGTTTCCCTCATTTTCGTCCCTTCAGTCGCATTTATCTGTATCAATGTGACAGACATTTTGTTCGCTTCCTTCAAATATCATTACATCAGCGCTCGTTCGCTCTTTTACCTGACATAACATTATTTTCTACTGAGAATTATTGCCACTGTGCATTTTGGACGGATGAGACAGTAGCAGCGCGTCATCCATGGTGCTTCTGTCGAAATCTCACTTACTAGCACGCTAACTCTAGCGTCCAGTCTGGCCTGGTAGATTCGTTTCGAGTTTTCACAAAAGTAAAGTATAACATTTTTAGACTACATTTATGGTTAGTCCGAAACGTTCAGCGCTAACCAGCCTTAACCCTGCTGGCAATAACGTATTCGCGTATTAAATTTTTGCGCACATATTGGTTTAGGTTCGAATCCGAACGTCAGCTTTTTTTGTTTGTGTTGATAGGAGCGCACCATCTGAGGCAACGCGTCACAGTACTACCGGGCATAAAAGTTGAGAAATCTATTGTTCAGTGTTTAGGTCGAGCTTAGATACACTTCGTTTTGTGCTTGGAAGACTAGCAGCGTCGAGCGTAAAACTAGAAACGTTTTACGCAACTACTAGTGGATTACGCAATTGAAAAGTGAAGGGTTTTGAGCTAGTATTCGAACGACATTACCTCCTAACGGCCAGAAACGTTCTGTTCGGGCTCTCATTAATTCAAACAATGCATCATGACAATATAGGAGTTTTGTGAAGTCTGTGTACGGGCAAGTGCAAAATATTTGGTTGAATATCACATGATATTCAACCAAATAGATATGCTCCACCTGGTACGTTTAATTATTGAGGGCAGGACCATTTGGGCAGGACGCTTGTGGAGTCTAAAAAAGATAGAACCGTCGTTTAAATTTTTCGAAATTTGTTGAAAAAGGTAATTTTCTATGAGAGACGACTGAGAATACGAACGAAGTTTCTATACATGGAGTATACTTGCTAGAATGCGCTATATCATAATGTTTTGTTATTTCAACATATCTTGCAAACTTTGAATTATTTAATATTCTCTATATGCTTCATTCAATAAGACTCAGTTGTAATTGTGAAAGTATAATGTTCAGTTGTTTCATGACATTATATAAAAGGGAACTACGCGATGACGTCAGTAGTACCTAGAACATGGAGTCTTCTGTATAAAGTACCGTGTAAAAACACGAAAACAATGATAATATTGTGAAAAAAACATCTTAGCTGAAAATGAGCCAGCATCCTAACACTCGGAAGCTTAGTAGCAAACCTTATTGCCGAGATCGCTATATTGTACTGTTGAGGAAGAGTCGATAGATAGGTAGGTTTGGCTCCTATATACTTTGGAACGTTTGAGAGTCGCAATAATATTTGCACCCTAAATGAAATCTAACATTTTCAGGTGACTTATACAGTAAGAACGGTTCTTTTTTGTCTTTCCGTTTGTTTTTCCGTATCATCCATAAAACTCTAACGCCTATCCACAGTTTTATAATTCTTTAAGTTTCACCGCATGTTGCTTTTTATAAGCGTTCACCTCACTCGTTAAGCCCCTTAATACTAGAATTTACGCTCCCTAACTTGGCATAGAAGAATATCTGCTCGACACATCTTTCATAACTTCGGGCGGTGAGGCATAGCACGAAAGTTTCTGTTTTACGCTAGAATTCGACAAAGTGCCAAGGTACCACCATCAGTCTGGCCCCAACACCCTTTGGACCGTTTCTATCACAGTAAATTCTATAATGGAGGCCAGCAAATGTTTCGCCTTCCTGTTCAGTACCCCTTTCCCCCATCAAAAAACCTAGTCGCTCAGTCAATCCCTTACAATGGGCCGTTCCTTTTCGCGTGCATTTGCATGCTATCTGCTTTTCTGCCTATACAGGCTACCAGCCTTCACACTTGATGTTTCGCGCATCGCCTTTCCACCCGCGCACCATTAGCCGCGCACCCCATATGTAGCCCTATGCCCTAACATATCTTTTACTTCTGACTTTCTAATCATCGTTGCTCACCTGTTGCTTTCGGCTCGCCCTCTCCTCGGCTGTATAGCTATTTTACCGATAGTGTTTAAAGGACGGCCAAAAGCATCTCCGGACCTTCCTTCTCGTTAGGACATACATGCGTCGCTTTTCTGCTTTTCTTTTACGTTCTGATTTTTTTGGTTGCTTTCTTTGCAACAGCAGCAGCATTGATAGTGACAATAACAGCTGCAGCAGCGCCACCGGTAACATCAGCGGCGGCGGTGACGGCGGCAACTTCGGGGACGACAAAAGCTGTTCAAGCATCGGCAGAAAAATTCTCTCGCCGATATATCGGTGCGCGCGTCCCGCGGCAGACACAACAGCAGAAGCTGCGAATCACCAGCCCCCTTTAGCTCCAGTTGGCCTCTTGCCTCTTTCTTGCTCGACGTTTTCTCCACTTTGCGGTTTCACCCTATCTTCTTCTTTCCCAAGGTGGAACAAAATCCGCGCGACTGCCCTACGCCCCCACTTCTCCCCCTTCATGTGTATCACAGTCATTCACCGGTAACCGGTCAAACCCCATAACCAGCAGCATTAGGGCAAAAACCGCCCTCTCATCCATAGCTCGTCCTGCACGAACTGTGGAAAGAATTGTTGGCCGCATGCTGTGTACGATACCTGGCTACCTATCAGTATATTCTTCTATTGTAGATTTATGTTCCCTCGCTATATAAACCGGTGGACTCCGACAGTCGGGCCAGTAGTAGTTGCGGCTACTGCATTGTTCAGTAAGTTGAGCTGAGTCAGGCGCGATCCTGGATCTGACTTGAAGAACGAATGAACTTGCAATTAGCACACAGTGACAGCAAGGACGTACCATGCGACTGTGCAGCCTCGGCTCCGTACTCCTTTGTGGTAAGCAGTATGCCCAGCGAATGGATTCAGTATTAAGGTGCTAGTGGACATGGAGGTACTACTATTTCGATGGCAATATTCAGTAGCCGGTCTACCGTGCGAGTCAAGACGGACCTCAATAAGGACACAGATCCTGATGGAGAGAGACCGCCGTTCGGTGCGTTCAGGCTGTAATCTCTTGAGTTCGACGTAATGCAGAGGATGTATACTCATTGAATTTGAGTTCCTGAATAAGTTTACGTGTGCGTGGGAAGACGCTGTATATTTTGCTGGGAGTTCAAATAAGATATCGGCCTAAAAAATCTGCCCGGACGTTAATTACTCTTGCTTGTTGGAGTATCTGTGCATTATCTACTACTGTAGTAATGGCTCTAGTTAGTTGCTATGTGCTTATTGTTTTACTATCGATATTGAGATAAATTGCTTAAACCTATGAATGATAATCAGCTCTAGGAACCGGTTTTTCTGTTGATTGAATTTGTGTTTTTAAGAGTGTGATTCTTAAGTTCATGATAATAGTCTGGTTCTATCACATTGGGCTTTATTACGAAGTTCAGGCCAATTCGAAATGGTCAAACCTCTCAGCAACAACGAACTATTGTCACTCCAACAGTTATAAACATTGCTTTCTAATATAATAAACATGAAATTGATATCTAAATGGAGTTAAAATAATTTTAAAAGGTATTCTGGTATCCAGATTAGGGTTTTATAAAATTACTTTTGATTTATAGTAGTAAAAAAAATTGTGGTAAAAAATTAAAGTTTGATTATTAACATAGCTAAGTGTTGATCGGCCAGCACAGAATGATTACTGCACTGTACCTGTAGTAAATTATTTGAGACTTTCCGAAGGATCCTTGCAGTGTTATATTGCTACTAATGAAATTCTCTTGGATTGCAGGAGCCACTCTAATCAGCACCGCCACCGCGGTAAGTTCGTTCATATCCGACCACAATAATATCAGCGCCTTAAAAGAAGAAACTGAGAAGTAATTTGTGCTTTAAAAAAATGTATTTCCACCAAAACCTATCTTGTCTTTAGAGCGTAACATTCGAGGAAAAACCTATGTCATAGTTTGCCTATACACTTGAGAAGCTTTACTTCGAAACCGTGAGCAATTCGTACGAGGGCGTTCATCTACCGGGTTTAAAGGCACTCACGCCACAGAGTCGATATCTCGCAAACTTTTTAAGCTTGTCAATTATAATAGTTTCCATTTACGGTCAACATTGGATTTAATCTCAGACTATACCTGAAGCTATGCAAAATAGCATTTATAACTGTATACTCGGTAAGTTATTTGGACTAAATGTATCCCTTACTAGTTTGATCTGCGGCCAAGTCAGAAAGCTATGGTGGTCAGTCATATTAGTCGATGGCCTCTAGCTATTATCGATGACGAATTAAAATAACAACGTACTACTGTCAGTTAAAATATCGATGAGGACAGCAAGAAACAACTAGGACTCAGTTCTTAAAGTTCACATTACACAGCGACCATATATATCCTGTCTTTGACACACGAACGAAGTTAACAGGCAGATTGGACTCCTCACAAGAGTTTGAACCCAAAAGCTATTCTGCTCCCCATAGTCATACGCCACTAACGATAGTAGAGAAATTTACCGCAGACTATCCGCTGATTCGCCAATCAGAGTGACCACTCAGTTCATCTCTGGTGCACGCTATCTTTACCACCAATAGAGCATCGTCGCATGGGCTAAGAGTCATTTCGTTTGTATTCCAATCGCACAGCAGATCGCATTGAAGACCTCTGCCGCAGTCAAAAACAAGCCAGAGGATTTGCAAGCTATTGCCACCACCACTATTTCTCACACGTGATGCTACTTGATGCAGTGTCGCAAATGCTCTGGTAAAATGCTATTCTATTGTTAGACGCTGGAACACCTGTCCGGGATTCTCTGCGTTAGTCATGTACATCTATGCTTCCCAATGTGCTGCCTTTTCTTTTTGTTCAACGATTCCTGTGACTCAGGCGTACTTAATCAGTTAACTGAACAAAAATCTGCTGCTGACAGCAATGCCGGCCTCAGTAGCTGCGCCGCTTCGGCTTTTTGAGAAGTCCACCGCCGCTTCGTTCGATCGATCGATTCATCGATGTTAAACAAAGATGGAACGTGAACCCGACGACCTATGGCATGCCTCCTTCTCCTCCTTTAACTGCGGCTCGGTAGACGCACCCGCAGCTGCAACGGCAATCAACAGCAGAACAGCAAAAATTGCCTTTCAAAGAGTGCTCCTTGCCCCTGCTGTTATATTTGTAACGTCGGTTTTCTTGGTGAACTCTTTGCCCCCCCCCCCCCCCCCCCCAGGGAACAAGATGCTGGCCCTGTCGAAGATTTCATTCACAGATGACGCTATTACAATACGACAAACCATAAATACCCGGTCCTATTCCGACCTATGGCAGCCGTGGCCATTTAGGCTGCTGCCGCCGTAAACTGACTTGACTGTCGCTTGTCGCAGGCTTTGGGGGACGCTCTTTTTTAGCGTCGACAGGTCAACGACGAAAAATGATCGACAGCACTAGCAGCGAGCAAGCAGGACATTACATATATACTACTAATAATCTTCCTATCGTAACTTGACTTTTGACGACTTTTAGCTTGGCATAAGCAGCCTATCGGTATTGCATTAAACTGTCTCCACAGAAGTTATCGCGACATGATCTTACCGCCATCATTGATTGGCCGGTTGGCTGCTGCTCCTTTGGTATAGTCTTTGTTACTAGTTGCAGTCTGTGCCATAACGACAAGCAATTTATATAGAATTGATCGTTGCCATCAAATTATGATGCGTAATAAGCCCGGCAACTGATGGCGGATTGATTAATACCTCTGTGTGTACATAGCCATCCATTGAACGATATATTGGTTAAAACAGGACTGCACGATTTATAAAGTATATTTATCATTTGTCAACATACATCTTATATTGTATACTATAAACACATTTGGCTATTGCAGCAAGGTTACGGTGGTGCTGGAGATCTGATCAGCGTTACGCGAAACCTACCCCAGCCAGAGTATACGCAAACCGGTCCACAGCCCGACTATAAGAGGCCAGCTGAGCTTCCTCAGCCACAGCCACGACCCCCTCCTCAGACTGAACCGGACTACTCACCCGAGCAACCAGTCCCTCAGAATGTTCCGACCCGACCTCCGACGAAGCCTATTCAGAACTATGCACCTGTACCCGGCGGACCTGGTCGCGTCCCCGTTCCGACGGTACGCCCGACGCCTGGTCCTGCTCTAGGTCAGTCCGGTCCAACACCGGCTCCGACCCGAAAGCCGGCCATCGCCCCTGGGCCGGCACCTATTCCAAGGCCAATGGGCCCTCGTCAACCGGTCCGTGTTCCAGAACCCACTGGGCCTGCATCCACTGGTCAACGACAGCCTATGTATGTACCTGAGATACAGGGACCCGCATCTGGACCTACTCCTGATTCAATTCCGGGACTCCGTCAACCCGCATACACTCCTGGAAATCGACCTGCACCTGGTCTTGCTCCTCGTCCCGAACTAGCGCTGACACCAGCTCCTCGTCCTGGACTATCCCCAGCACCAGCTTCTCGACCAGGACAAGCTCCGGCACCACGACCTGTTTCACCGACGCTTCAGCGCCAGCCGGCTTACGTTCCTATGTCACAGGCGCCTGGGTCTGCACCAAGGCCTGCTCTAGGACCCATTGCAACACCTGCTGTAGGTTTCAGTCCAAGGCCTGCTTCAGGGCCCGGCCCTTATGAACAGACGGGCGGTTTGGGTCCACAAAGCCGCCCTGCGCCTGCGGTCGGTGGGGGACAAGGACAACGGCCTGGGGGAAGCCCTGACTATGACGGTGCGTTTGATGACGGTTCGTACAAGGGCGATGATGGCCAGGTATGGCCCGCAATTCGGGGTGATCCTGGTAAAGACTACCCCATCTATGCATCTGTTCCGGAGACTGGATTCTCTTGCGATCAACAAGATTTACCCGGATACTATGGAGATCCAAACGCAATGTGTCAAGTATTCCACATCTGCCAAACGGATGAGGAGGGCCAAAAACGCATTGACTCATTCCTCTGCCCCAACGGAACAATATTTAACCAGCGGTATTTTGTTTGTGACTGGTGGTACAACTACGACTGCTCAGAAACGGAAGGTTTGTACAGTCTGAACGCAGAACTTTACAAAGAACCTGAACCTGGCCGAGAACAATACCAGGTAGCGCCTCAGCCTGGCGCCCGTCCTACAGGTCCTATTCAGAAAGTCACCTTTACGCCTCGTCAACCCGCTTACGTACCCAATCTGCCGTCACAACCTGCTCCAGGCCCAACCCGAGACGTTGCGCCAAGCCCTGCCCCAAGCCCCGTTCCAGGCCTAGTTGTAGACCGAGTTCCAGGACCAGTTCCAGGCCCAGCTTCAGGCCCAACCTCAAGACCAGTCCCAGGCCCAGCTCCAGGCCCAACCTTAAGACCAGTTCCAGGCCCAGCTCTAGGCCCAATCTCAAGACCAGTTCCAGGCCCAACCTCAAGACCAGTTCCAGGCCCAGCTCCAGGCCCAGCTCCAGGCCCAGCTCCAGGCCCAGCTCCAGGCCCAGCTCCAGGCCCAGCTCCAGGCCCAGCCTCAACACCAGTTTTAGGCCCAGCCACAACACCAGTTGCAGGCCCAACCCCAGGCCCGATTCTCCGTCAACCGGCCTACCTTCCTGAGCAACCGACACCATCATCTGGTCCACGTCCTTCACTTTCTGTACCCAACCAGCCCACCTACGTCCCTGAAACATCAACCGGTCCTACTCCAGCTCCGGCTCCCCGTCAGCCGGCCTACCTTCCTGAACCACAAGCACCATCACCTGGACCACGTCCCTCACTTTCTGTGCCCAGCGCACCAGCCGGTCCTGTTCCAGCTCCCGCCCCCCGTCAGCCGACCTACCTTCCTGAGTCACAGGAACCACCATCTAGTCCGCATCCCTCACTTTCTGTACCCAGCCAACCAACCTACGTCCCTGGGACGCCAGCCGGTACTGTACTGGCTCCGGCTCCCCGCCAACCGGCCTATCTTCCTGAGCCACAGGCACCATCACCTAGTCCACGTCCTTCACTTTCTGTACCCAGCCAACCAGCCTACGTTCCTGTGGCACCAGTTCGTTCTGTCCTAGCTCCGGTTCCCCGTCAGCCGGCCTACCCTCCTGAGCCACAAGCACCATCGCCTGGACCGCGTCCCTCACTTTCTGTGCCCAGCGAACCCGCCTACATCCCTGAAGCACCAGCCAGTCCTGTTCCGGCTCCGGCTCCCCGTCAGCCGGCCTACCTTCCTGAGCCACAAGCACCATCGTCTGGACCGCGTCCCTCACTTTCTGTGCCCAGCGAACCCGCCTACGTCCCTGAAGCACCAGCCAGTCCTGTTCCGGCTCCGGCTCCCCGCCAGCCGGCCTACCTTCCTAACCCACAAGCACCATCATCTGGACCGCGACCCTCACTTTCTGTGCCCAGCCAACCCGCCTACGTCCCTGAAGTACCAGCTGGTCCTGTTCCAGCTCCAGCTCCCCGTCAGCCAGCCTACCTTCCTGAGCCATCGGCACCATCATCTGGACCCAGCCAACCCGCCTACGTCCCTGAAGCACCAGCCGGTCCTATCCTAGCTCCGGCTCCCCGACCAGGCTCTGAGCCTACACCTGCTCCCCGTCAACCACCTCAGCCATCGTACACCGCAGATATAGCATCCGTTCCAGCACCACCCAGCCAACCTACCTATATTTCTAGACCAGCTCCTGGTCCGCCCCGCCAACCCTCCTATACTTCCGAACAAGCACCCGCCCCGGCACCTCCGTCCCGTCAACCATCTAACACCCTCAATGTCCCGGCACCTCTGGCACCATCTCTACCACAACCGACCTCTACCCCCCAGGCTTCCGGACCAGCGGCACCTCGTCAGCTCACCTACATGCTATCCCCTTCGATACCTGCCCTACGACAGCCAACGTACAATGAGCCAGGACCAGCGTCAGCTCCACAATTTTCCACGTCAGTTGCCCCTAGTCCACCGTCTGCTTCGCAACAACCGAACTATCAACCCGCCATTCCTGGTTCTAGAGCTCCATTTAAATCGATCCAAGAGAAACCGCAATACGGCAAAGGTACGTTCGGTAGATTGCGTTGCCGCCAAACCAACAAAGTCCTTTTGATCGTAAACCGCTGATGTAATAATGAAATACGTACCCTTTGTCTTTACATGTATCGTTGTGCGACTCGTGTATGTTCTACTATCGGTTTTAAGCCTTATGACTAGTGCTTTTGCCAAGCGCTGCTTCTTGCGACATTTGACATTAAGGTGTTAATTAACGTCACTGTTGTAATCGCTAATTTGCAGTATCCCAACGGCCAAGCTATAACGAACAGGCACAGAACCAGAGGGGTTTCGAACTGAGCCAGAGCGTTCAACCAGTGCCCGCGCCTCAGCAGTCGGCGACGACCGACGAGGACGAAGAAGACGGAGGGCGCTATTATGGACGTTAAATCACAAATATCTGAACTCGTTCCAACGTTTGCGATACATGGGTAACCAATGAAGTGCCGACGCCAACAACCCCTCTCAGGGGCGATAATGCCGCCAATCTTAGCAATGTTGTTTTGGGAACGCTCTGGTAATTCCGTGAAGATCACAAATGATTCACACTGCTGAACCACCCAAGCTCTTCCGATGCTGGCCTTGGACTAAGTCAGCATATTTTGTAATAATTAAGCGTCTTTGCAGTGCGCGACTCATTCCAAATATTTAATAGCTCCTTTTCAAATGATTATCCAATTTATTTGGCCTGTACAACCTACAACAAAGATTACGAACGGAAGCCATTAACCGTGACTCAAGCCAGCGACAATGCTAGAGGCGAAGGCCTCCAAAAAACGATCAAAAAAAAATGAGGCACACAAGAGAAATTGCTTTTGGGTTTCACCTTAATCAAATGCCGACCCAGAGAACGAGTTTACGCAGAAAGAATGAGTTTCTATTATCGACAGACAAGCTGAACAAATGAGACAAATCGGATCGACTTAACATTTGCATGCAAGGTGTAAAAGCCTTGACTTGTACGTCTAGAACCCGTTTTGTCAAGGTCGACACACGGCCTTGCCTTACTGCATTAACCTATCTTGTCGTCCACCAATTCAACCAATCAACCACAGCTTCATACATCCACCTCAACTTCAGTTGCTCTTAGCTCTTCTAAGTCATTGTAATATTTATGCGGTTCATCCAGTTTTCTCATGACTTCATATAACCTCATGGGAGCCTTATTCAGGCTTATCCGTACATACAATTCGCACGTGTGAACATCTGCAGCATTCCACACTTGATCCACAAACATCAACAAGCAGACGACGAGCAGATTTCCTTCTTTCCTCTTCCCACGTAAATATTTCCAGAAGCGCGCATACACGCACCTATTTATTTTGCTGACGGTATTACCATATGACTACGACACTGAGGCGAACAAAAAACAACGAAAAACTCGCTCATGATAGACAGCTTACTCGATAAGAAGAGTTAGAACGAAATAAAATGAAGCATAGGTAAGTTCAAGAAAAGAACTTCTACTAATTGCTGTTGCTGATCGAACGAATTGTCTAATGGTGCTATTTCAGCATTACGTGTGTCTTCAGTATATATATATATATATACTGAATACAGTATGTATATATATATATAATGGTAGATAAATGAGAGGCTATATGGATATAGCTCTTGGATGGTGGCTGGAAGTTATTGTCGTTCCTTTCTGCTACTCGAAGTGTATCATACACAGTAGAAAGGATACACGATGGCGACTGCGTTACGAGGAGCCCACGAGAAGAATAGGGAACGTAAAACTGAATAAAGGCACCAGTAAGACGTATCGGCTCAGACGTGTTTTAATTCAATCCAATGTGTGTAACTTTGTGTTTATAGCTTGCCCACCTACCTTTTACAGTCCGTGCCACTATTCATTTTTTTCTTAGTGGGTACTCTACCCTTTCTTTTTTATGGGCCGCTAAGCCAAATTTCTAATATATTAACTTATTAGAGTTCTCTTAGAGAAAGGAGTCCGTGATCTCATTACTGTATATTATTCCATCAATTTTTGCAGATGCGTTTTTCGACATGTTTTTTTTATTCTATCATTAATCGAGGGATTAATCTATCCTTCTGTTGTTCAATTAGCTCATATAATTAAACTAGCTTAGCAAAACTAGCAAGACTGAGGTTCATGAAATCCGTATTAGTAGTATTATGTTTCATAGTGTTTTCCATTTAATCAAGCAATAAAGAACTTTCATATTCTAGACTGTTAACTGAAACAGATGCCAACTATCATTATTTACCTTGCAACTGCTTCTAACATAACTACGAAAACGTAGTCTATTAAAGATGAATGAAAACCATTATTAGCAAAATTGAGGAAAAGGTTTTCTAACGATCCAGTTCCAGAGATAAGCAGTTCCAATAATTTCCAGAAACCAAAGTCGACTTTAACTATCTGACGACTATTAAGTTCCACGAATGACGCTAATGACATGCGAGGTGCGAACAGACCACAGCGCCACGTACCAATATTTGGATGCACCGGTAATAAATAGGGTATGTTATATCAAAGCTTTTCCGAACGGCATCGCAGAAACCAGGCCTACATTTCGAACGCACACATTTGTCCAACGTACGTATAATTACTATTCATCGACTATTTCATTATCTCGTAACATATGTTCACGTTCTTCAACGGGTAATAATTTATTACAGCTGTTTTTTGTCTGCTTCTTCTATTATTTGTGCACATGCGCTAGCATCTGTTATTAATATTTATTACCGATGTTTGTTATGCGCGTATATGTCTGTCTAATTTAATTACGATACTAGTCTGCTTCTAATAGACAATTACATTGAGCGCATATATGTAATCCGTGATGAATATGCAATTGATTGGGGTTAATGGTCGAATCTTTGAGAAAAAACCAAATTACAAAAAACCAAAGAAAATAACACGATCATTGATGTACCACAAGCTCTACTACGATAGCAAACACCGATGGGGTCATTGCCGGCCCAGAAACGTCTTCGATTTGGTGGGCGTCCAGTTACCGTTGCTTTTGACACGAGCAGACACATGCATCAAGGAGCCTCCGCCATGGATTCGCTTATCGGCTTCCACGGTACCAAGTGCTAATGTGTCATTTCATTTGTGTAATAAATAATGCACATATCCAAACTGGAAGTACCTGTTGTGTGCAACGAAAAGCAACTTCCTTCTAATATCGAACGCTTCATCGCAGATTTTTCGGTCTCTACTCGATGTATTCTATACACTGGTTTTTCAGTAACGCAACACTTGCAAAAAGCTAACACTTTTTCCGTGTTCAGCTATAATTCAGATACGGAATTAACTTGTGTTTACTTTTTCTTTTTCATACTGTGTATATTCTTTGCTAAATAATTTATTTTATACGGTAGATTCAATGCACACAGCTGGTAATAACTAATATGTCGACGCCGAAAGTAGTAGCAGACCAAGCTCCGACGGGCCTACTCCAAGATTAACACTCGTTAACACCGCTCCCCTTTAGTTTCATTCCCTATTCGCTCGGAAACTCATTACAATACGACGGACCCTGTTAAATTAGCCAATGGAAACGATCTTTTTCTAACTGCATGTAGTTCGGATTATTTCCACTCTTGCGGTAAAATTTATATTTTCTATTGAACAACGAATAGACTACTAGTTGACATATTAATAGTATATGATCGTTTTACTTTTGTGTCCAAAACTAAATGGATCAAATTAATACTATATAAATATTTATAATATCTGTTTGTCAAGTTCTGTAGTGTCTTATCGTTTTCGCAGATATAGGCGTATATATCTCTACAGTCCATGGTACAACAGCGCCAATTACTATGAGTCCACTATTTTTGTCTCTTCGAGTTCAGTTATACCTCATTTCGTATTGCAGCTTATCAGCTTAAATTTAATCGAACGCATATGGTCCACAGCGAGATTCGAGCCTGGGCGGCCTAAGTTGAACGATAGTTTGGCAGTTTTTACTTTTTTCGAATTTTACGTCAACTGAGATTCGAAAATATATTGTGCAACCTAGGGACTATCGCGACCGCTATCATATTAATTTTCTGAAACTTCGATTTATATTCGAACGCACAAATGTATATTTAAACGAAACATATTTTCTAAGTAAATTCTAACAAATAAGTTTTCCTTTGATTGTAGATAGGGTTCAAACTAGAAATTTCTCTAAAAAACCTTTATTAAATATATAAAATTAAACAAAGAAGAAAATGTCTACGTGCAAAATATAAGCTTTAAAAAGTAAAGCAACAAAATCAGTGTTAAAGACTATTTTGTCCCTAAAACATAGCGCTTCTTTTCAACGTTTTGTATCTTTCTTATAAATGCGTTTTTTTAAAAAAAAAAAGCAACGTAATTTGTATGGCTAATGCACATCTCATTGAATACGCTGCCATAGTAACATATTTCATTTTCAATTTAGCGAATTTCATTGTTGGAAAATTGTTACTAAGGGTTATATTTCCCGTGCCCAGAAACCCCCCAGATGAGCCCCTGTAAGATCTAGCCTGGCCAAACCGAAGAGGCGATTTATTTTCTAAATTATTACTAAAAGGATATAATTCGACCTGCAACTAGCTAACCTGAAAGGGTACGTTATTTAGACACCTTTGATCATACCGAAAAAGTAGATCGAAGTTGTAGTGAACGAATACTGTTCCCATATCAAGCTGTTTGCGCAAAAGCAGCTATCGAACCTTTTTTTGTCGAATTTTTATGTTTACTGCGTACTCCACGATTTTTCTCAGTTATAGGTTCAGTTTGATTTTTCTTATGTTGAAGTAAATTGACACGATCAGTGACGCAGGAAGTGATCATTTAAGATAAGTTCCTATAAGTTAGCTGGTTCGCTTTCGCTCAAATAAGCTATTAGTCATAACTACGACTGTCACCATATTGTTAATATTTGCGCATTCCACTCTCACATTTTATGCATGTTACAGTGTGTCTATATAACTGGCGCGTTCAAACTAACTGCCAATTCCTTTTTTCGTATAATCTTCTTAGGATCTTTGAGCATTAGCTCACCGTATAACAAACCTCTACTATATTTGAGTTGTGACAGCCACCACTCATACATGAAAACTTCATCATCATTTTAAGAACATCATATCTGCCTTAAACCGCGCTGGTTGATATACTGGATCTACGAACACTCGAGCTAACGATTGCCTTACATAACAAGGTGCTTTCCCGTCTAAATTATTAGGCATCACTTTAGACAATAATTTTCTTACCTATGACGACGCTTATAATATGTGAATACCTGCGCTGTTTGTCGGATTAACAAATATCTGACCGGCCGGAGTCAATTGTTATTTGATAAACTTGAGCCTTGACGATAGTCACGAAGCAGACCCTAATCCAGGAAAGGTTCCGCCGATTTAGGCGAGGTCTCAAAAATCGACGGAAACAGCTGCCAAGTAGGCGCAGTTGCTCTCCTGCGAAATTCGAATGGTGCTTGCAGCCTAAGTAGTTTGTGGCTTTTAAAAACTTCTATACAGCAGTAAATCGGTTTGTTTGGAGCAGTAATGACTGTATAATAAATGTGTGGTGCGCGTCTTCAGTCAACTCTACAGGAAGTCCAATGGAGCTTTAAAACGGCATTGAATTGACCGCGAAATAGAAAAGGTCTGTAAAACATATCTATTTTGTCCCGCATTATTCTAGAATTCGATTTAACGAATCTGTGCCAGATTGCTGGTCAGGTCGAAACGTTTTAGATTGTTTGATTGAAGTACACTACTTTCTACTATAATTTGATTTTAGTTTAGATATTAAGAAATTTTTAGCATCTAGAATATGAATACCTTGACTGTATGGGCTAATCAAGTGGAACAACATATAAAGAATTCGGATGATTGCGGCTTTATGCGATTGTGACACAGTGACTGACATTTAATTATGAATGATAAATAGCAAAAGCAACGAGTGTAATTAGCGGTTGTTACTATTGCTTTGTGAACTGAATAGACGCGTCAAGTACTTATGTTCCCTATGCCGTGTTCTGATATAAACGTCACTAGGGGACCCTGGCTGTTCTTAATAACTTAGTAAGCTGCTTGGTCAGTGCTGTGCAAGATTTTTCCGGGTCAGGCAGGTATCAGAATTTGTGTGTATGTTTCTACCACGATAAAAATAAAGCTTCAGGTAACAACTGTCTAGTAACAACTAAGTGTAATAGCAAACATTATGTTATCAACGTGTATTTAATGAAAGTGTACAAATGATCAATGGAGATGTGTACACAAATAGAATTCTACGTTAAATCGTATACTGGCAAAATAGTTTAAGTTAGAATTGATGTGCATGTTTTAGATAGATACGTGAACGAAATTTGTGTCAAATTATTATACACTGTGTATTATAAAACACTTGGTTGGAATCAGATTGATGATTGAATCATCATTGATTTTACTTCTACACGTCCAGTTTTTGTGCTACTACGTGTCTCATGTTAATTGTGTAGCCATACCTCATTTAAAGGCATGCTGTGCCGATTTGCCAATTAACCGTGCCTAATATTTTTACACATCTGACGAATTGGGACGGGAAGTATACACGTGGCCAAGGAAGTTACAAAACAATATCTGGGTACTTAAGGAATAGACAGAACCATTCAAGGAATAATAATGTAACACCCGAGTTTTAATTTTTCGCTTCCTTTGTCACCCCTGCTAACTATTAATGTCTAATGGATCGTACTTCATGCGAAAACTCGTTGACTTCTATTGCAGAATGAAAAAATAATGCAGCGGTAATTGACGGCGGCTTTAGCTTACCGACAATGACATATTTGGTGAGTTAGGTTTCATCCACGTAGCTTCGGTGGCTAGTAGGTATCTTTTTGAGTGCGTGGTCATGGTAACTATGGATACATGGCCATCGCTGGTTTTAGCTTCAGAAAACGATTACCGTTTCATGGACCTGTTGGAAGGACCCTGGATAGGTTCTTCAAAGTCCACCGTTTTACATCTTCCAGTGGGGCCACTCGTTAATGTTGTACCAAGGAGGTGATACCAAGGAGTTCTTCACACAATAAAAATAGCTAACGGCGTAAAACCTCATTCACAGTAGTTCCTCACGTAATCAAATGACCAATTTATTGAATATCATTTTATTCATTGTAAATGTATTTTACTGACATGAATGTATTTTATTTTTGACATGATATAAAACACACTATCTTGAGAACGACCACATACCGATGTTGTTCTACTTTTACCTACGACCTGTTTTTTTCTTTTATTATGCACTAATGCGGTTTACATGTCTCACACATGAATAATTGTATCAGCTAACAACAAATAATTAAACTTTTCAATGCGATCGTATTCGTTAGAAATTTTATTATATTCTTATTATGTTCGTTAAAGAGACCTACACTCACTGATAAGGCATTTCTTCTTATATAGTACATGTTTTAAAAGAAATTGTTTTATTATAATATTATACACTGCACTATGTGAACTGTCAAATAATCTAGTAACATACTGTAGCTAATAAAATAGCTCTCACCATAGTGATCCTTATTATAAATTTCTATTTCAGAGCAGAGCAACATCTGGTCGCCCGTTCGCAATCTCACCATGGCTCTTTGTAATACCACCGCTGGCGACTCTTGTTAACGTAGTCTCGGACAGCTTCTCTCGTTTGTACTTATCAGCATCCCTCGAGCTTTTCGCACTGGCTGACTCGTTGACCCATTCGGTTGTTGGAGTTCTTCTTACAACCGTCGTGTTTGTACATCGTCGACCTTTTCGGACGCTGCTCATCACCTCGTGGTTGTGTTCAGCGCTTATCGATGTGGACCATTTCATTAGCGCCGGCTCCGTGAGCCTATATGCAGCCACTAGTATTCATGGGCATGGTCGACCATTTCTGCACGACACAGTAACTGTCGCCGCACTCTGTGTCATTGTAATCGTTATTTGCGAGCTGGCTTACCTTTGGCGACGAAACAGCCGACAGGTTAATAGCTGGGGAGAAGCATTCCTTCCTAACAGTAGTGATAGCACTAGTAGCAGAGCCGAAAACGCGCTGCGAGCACGATTTTATACGCCGTACGTGATCACACTTTGTGTGTCGCTCCTTGCTCACCATACGAGAGATGCGCTTCGTCGAGGCTTCTGGTTCCGGCCTTTGAATACAAGAGCGATCTCTTATCCAGAAATGACGTTAATTTTCTACGGTCTGGTTTTCGTAGGGAAGTTTTTTGCTGACGCAACAACAAATATTCCGAGGCGAAGCGTGTTCACGGTGTAGATAAATTTAGGCTGGTTAATTCATATGAGGTATAGTGATTTGCAACGGTGTCCTGTATGCTTCCATTCCATAGAATACGTTTAAGGGATAAAAGCTTTGTTTTGGCGTAACTATATAATGCCGTGTACATAGTTCAACTGTTAATGCTATTGAAAAGTACGATATTTATATGTTTACCTCTAATTGTATTCCTTATGGATAGGTAGCCAACCGCAAAGGTTCATTCAAATCAAAGATTACCTAGAAACACTCTTTCTAATTTAGCCCACTATTATGTAGATCATCGTGATATAATCAATGCGATTTTATACTCCAGTTACATCATTCTTAACAAAACTTTTTACGATTGCGCTTACGGGTGGGTTATATCCAAGCGATAAAAAGAGAAGCAATGGCCATTCATTCACCGAGACGAATCGCGTTGCGAATATGATGTTTATGTGGAGCGAGCTCTAAACTAAATAAATTCATTAGAAGCTTCAGTAACGGTAGCTTCTAAGGAGCTCTAATTGGACTTTCCAGTAGTTACTAGACTTCAAACTCAAGCCTGGCATAGCTTTCAGATGTAGGGAAGTCTGCCAGGATCTGGAAGCCAGGATCACAAGCAACTTTTCGGCTTTGTAGATATTATTTTTGGTATAAGTGGCTTCAGTTAGCTCTCGCAGATGGCCGGCCATATAGCCTCGAGGGCGTTTGTGCTCTTGGCTTTAGTAATAAACAAAATGTGGCCGCAGCTAACATAATGACGTTTTCCTAGTTGAACATAGACATATATCAGCTTCTAGTTTACGTCACGGCACTAAATATGGCGCGATCGGTAAATTATGTTTTTCAATATCTACTCCGCAGTATCACCATAGAATTATTTTTGGGGTTGAATAGTTTAAGGACTGCGTTGCTTTATTATTCATAGTCGAAAGAAAAAGTTTTCTTAAAAATAAAATGCAACCAAGGTAGTGGCGCTAGGCCATACGAAATTCGCCGTCGCGGAACTCGGATACAACTAGAAGTAAAAACGCTTATGGGTATCTGACCCACGCGAGAAATCTGTTTCCAAATTAGCACTTGGTTTACGATAGGGGTAGCGATGGATCTTGTCAATGTGAATACTACAGAGAAATCCTGAAAGCAGCCTGATAGGAATTCAACATGCGGGCCCGACAACGGCTACAGGCCTCTGTGCGGAGGAGATAAGGCACGTAACCGAAGCGACCTTTCGAGTTTTGAGAACTGCTTTTTGGCAAAGTAATGCATCGATCAAGTGGTAATTTAAAAGAGCCAAATCTGGTGAACCAACAACATAAAGGAAAAACTATAAACGTTTCCATTCTTACGTAATATTCTGTACTACCTCAACGCCAACTTATGGATGGTTTATAGGCCCTTAAGGAAGAATAGGGGTGTCTCCATGTGTTTGATTTGTTTGTTAAGACTTTCACATCTTTAAAAATGGTCACTAAGACATGAATTAATTAGAATTAATAGACATACCGTCCTTTGACTAATGCCAATGTAATGACCTAAAACAAAGGATGAATCGTATATAATACCTTCAGATGATGAAATCAACTCGGCTTGGAAGACAATTTCGAAGCCATTTTGTATATTCGGAGCAAATCTACCAATAATTTCGGTGTAAATATACAGATCAAATATCAGTGTTCCTTTTCTCCGGGTGACAGTGTCCAGTCGTCAAGTTCATATAGGCGATATTTTATTTGCGCAGCAAGAGTCAGCAGTATATAAAACTTTCACCTTTCTTATCCTGAGCTAGAAATTAACTCACATTCAGAACATATCTCATTTACGTATTCATCGGATCTAATCCGATAAAAAAAACATTGTCTTTGTTAAGTATACACTTTGTTTATTGAGTTTTAATTAAATTTGATTAATACTTGAGCAAGGTAGTGATTACGGAGCTACATCGATTAATCAATCATAGAGATAATTGTTGTTTTTTGTTGGTTTTTTTCTCGTTTCATCAATACATCGTAGAGAGACACAGCGGTTCGCGGCTTCTTACTCGTAATTTATATTTACTTTCGTTACATATCGGGCTGCTGTCGGTTTGGCTTCTTTTGTCAATCGGATGTTGACTGGTGTTTCTTTGTCATCTCGTTTGTTTTCGGCTTAATATTGGTATTCGGTATCGTATTAGTGTGACGGTTGGTGATCCTCCATTTTGTGTCAGCATTTTCTGCTGTTTTGTTTGGTATAATTGTCAGCGAATATCTGAAACTTGTTGTGCCCTGTCATGTTTTCACTTGTTCCTCTCTCCAACTGGCCGTTATGACGATGTGACGATGTTACCGTGTCATTTTCGAAACGCGCATCGTCTGGGGTCGCAATCTCTAAAATTCGTCGGCTGTCCGAAGGTAGCGCCTTATCGTTTGTCGGTTTTTACGAATGTTGATCTTTTGTAAAGTGTTATGAGTCCTTTCATAAGTTATTTGTTCGTGCTTTTTTTCTGTTTTTTTTTTTTACCAGCGAATCCTATGTTCTTTTATGTTTTTATTTATTGGTCAGGTGCAGGCCATCTGAATAGGTAAGGGGAAAGACAGGGCCGACTAAGTCGAGAAACACATGTTATATCGACCTAGCGTTCGCTTCACGTTTATCTTTCGCTGAAAAGCGTTGAAGTGATCGAATTCTCATTGTACCATTAATGTAACCAGGATAACTGTGGCCTTGAAATCAACTTGAATTTATTATTTTTCCAATACTCCAAAAACTGCTATTCTTATTTGTCACATTTGACGTTTGAAATTCAGGTAAGATTGTTACCGATCATATGCCATTCTGGTGCCAGTTCCCTGCAGGCGTCTATCTGATGTAGTCATCTACAATCTGTGTTTTGTTTGAATACATGTCGAGGTTGGTGAGTTTGTGTAATGCCTGTGTAGTTCGTATGTGTTTCTGGGGTCTATTTTCCTGCTTCGACTACTTAGCGTAAGGGTGGGGCTGGGCTTGCACGGAAATTAGTTCTTGGGAAAGAGTCAGTCGTAGCAATCATAACTCATCCTTGTTAAGGAAGTTAAATTACGGAAGTATTCACATTTTGGGCCTCTCTAATCGAGCCAGTCAGTGACAGCCCATTCCAGTTCCAGTGAAAGGAATTAGCCATGCGCTAGACAACAACTGCGAATGATGCAATCATGCACAACCACGTCGCGTCTTGCCATCGTGTTCATTCCCATTGGCTGACGCCTGGAGAAGGCGGCTTTACTGGCCTCGAGTCCTGTGCCCGTTTCGGGACCGTATAAAAGAGACATACGTCGTAATGCGGCGTATCTATAAACGGGCTTGTCCGTTTACGCTCACAATCATACGCACATACACACTTTTTAAACAAACGCGTTGATAACGACAGAACCACGAATGAGACTTGTGGGACACTACAGCGCCCATTAGATATCTTGCGCTATTCGACAGAACATCCGCATTCGACGCACGTCGAATGCCTTTAGTGTCAAGTCGACAAATTAGGAGGGTCGAGACCTGTTAAGGTACTACATACATTTTTCCATGGATAACACGACGTGTGCTCATTGAGATCAGCACAGCTCCGTCTTCTGGAAAATTCTGGGATCTGTCGTCATCTGAACCTTGTTTCCCTTTCCCTTCCCCACTTCACATTTTCTACCCAGCTTCTTTATGGTCATAATGATAACGCTCTTCATTCTATAATATTGTTCAGAGCATACGTACGTTGCCGCAGTCTACCTAGGTAAGTAGGAGCTTCATGCTCTTCGAGAGCTTTCGGCAGTTTCTTTCTACATGAATTAAGTATAACGCCACGTCTCTGAGCCCCCGTTAGCGTCAAGCATTGCAATATGTAAGAATGTCAATTCTATGTTATTTCCTATATTGTTGTATGTTGTTTCATCATGGGTCTGTGATAACTGGAAACGTGCCGGACTCCAAGAGTACAGGAGTGCGTTCCGTCTACCGATGAACTTCCCATACACATTACATACATGTCGTTTATATATTATAAACCAGACCGGCACCGGGCTACTGACGCGTAGGCCATTAATGAATCATGGGTAGAGTTAGTTAGAACCATATGTACAACACGCGTGAAAACCCTGCAGCCCACTGGCCATCCCAAAATCCGTTGCTGTTGTTGTTATTGTTTCTGTGTTAAGGCGACTGATTCCCACAGTTCTCGATATTGCGGAGAGAATTCGTGTTCGCTTTGAAAGGCCAAAGAAATTGGCTAAAATGTTATTTTTGGTTAAATTGTTTTTACTAAGGGCGCGCTCCCTCGCTCGCTGGTATTCGGCTTTGGCCATTCCCAGGCTGACGTTATTTAAAGTTAATTGAGATTTTGTTTGGCACTGCGAATTCTTAGTTACGCGGTATTGTTTTGGATAGGATTTGCGTCTGTCAGTACGTTGTGTATATAACTGCTAACCATTTTGTCTATCTTACCATTTATTGATATTTTTATTGTTCTTGCTGTTATTGTTGTTTTTCGAAGAAATGAGAAAAGCATCCTCACACCAACCTTTTCAGATGATTTGTTTTTGTGATGCGCCTGGCGCAATCTGGTTGGAATTCTGTGCGTGTATTCGATTGTGAATTGAGAAGTTAAATTGAGAGTCAAGTCTCTGTTTTGTCTGTTTTTCTGCCGACGGAAAAACTTTATGGAACAGTGCATCTTCAATACGATGAACGTAGTTGGAATATCCTTAATGCGACCTAGGCGAAACATGTAAATATATATTATTTTAAGCCGGTACCCGTATAATGGTTGCATTGCTTTTCTCTTGTGACTGACCCGCATGCCTTACCAAGTTTTACAGTACAGGATTTTGTTACACGCTCGAATAATATTGTCAGTCAATTCGGCACTGATAGTTTTGTAGTTGATATTAATTTCAAACGTTTCATACCTCGAGTGTCCTTTCGAGTTCAACGAGGTCTAATGGGAGTCCTTCGTTGCTTCGCTGTGATTCAAATTGCTGTTGATGTCGATGGTAGATTTTCTGTGTAGACATTGGCCGTCACTACCTTGTTATGTTTTTGTCGATGCTGACGTTACTTGCCTTGTCTATATTGTTATTTCTGCTGTTGATGTGAATCAATGTTCTCTCTTGCTCATTTAATTATGGCGCTGCTTTTTGAACATACATTCAGTCAAGTTATCATTCATCTTTAGTGTCTGTTTCGACTCTTTCGCAGGGACCATTCACGTTAAACCGCAGGCAGATACTCATGAAACCTCATGACACACACATGTCTGCTACTGATCAGTCACTCGCTCAAACGCTTACACATTTAGTCACTCTTTCACACGTCCGATCACCCTCTCATAATCTTCGTTACACCTTTTATTGACGTTATTTTCCTCTAACTGCCTCTAGGATCTTCGTATATTATGCACTACGACAAATTTGAGTTTGTTGTTTGGATTGTTTTGCTTCACTAAAATCCTGTCTGCTTTTCTGTTTTCTGCGCTTACAGGAGTGTGTCCATGTGAGTGTGCATCTGCGTGGGTGTGCGTGTGTGTATGTGCGTATGTGTTTGGGTGTGTATGTGCGTGTGACTCCTTAACCTCGGCTCCACCCATCTTATGGCTACATCAATCAGTCTCCGTTTATCATCTTTATCATCATATATATCCACTGTTTCCTGTGTCTCTTCCCATTAGTTCGACTCAATTATAATTGATAATAATATACCTTTATAATATTGTTTTTTCAATATCAGTCATTTATTGTCATCGTATCATCTGCATCAACGCCTTCATTATCATCATTAGTTCCTGTTATTATCAATTCATTGTAATTGTAATATCTCTCTAGCGACAGCTGTGGCTATA